TTTCATTACCCAAACTAGGTAACATCATCAGTGGGGTTTGCAGAGACCTCCCTCCAAACACTGATGACGTTACCTACTTTGGCAGTGAAATGTCTGCAAGAAAAACACCCAAGGAGCCCTCGTTTCAACCCTGAGCTACGAATATTTTCCTTTATTGTTAGGACAGACAGAGTCACTCGCTGTCTTTGGGGTTCCGTGCCTGCCACCGAGGTGCCTCAAGGTCACTTGAAGTGTTACTACCTCTTTGTACTGCACAGGTAAGGCCACCCCTGGAATCCTGCATCCAGTTTTGGTCCCCACACTATAAAAAAGAGGTGGAGACTCTGGAAAGAGTGCAGAGAAGAGCAACCAGGATGATGAGGGGACTGGAGGCTCTAAAATATACGATCAATGCTTGCAGAAACTGGGCATGGCTGGTCTAGTGAAGAGAAGGACCAAGGGAGGCAGGATAACAGACTTCCAGTATATGAGGGGCTGCCACAGAGAGGAGGAAGGGGGTCAAGCTATTCTCCAAAGCACCTGAGAGCCAGACAAGGAACAATGGATGGAAACTGACCAAGGAGAGATTTAACCTAGAAATAAAGAGAAACTTCCTAACAGTCAGGACAATTAACCAGCAGAATATAAGTTGCCTCCAGATGTTATGGGTACTGCAACACTGGAGGTTTTTAAGAAGAGACTGGACAGCCACTTGTCTGAAATGGCCTAGGGCGGGGGGGGGGGCAATTGGGCTGTCTCAGGAATTCTGGGAGTTGAAGTCCACAGGTTGTAAAAGAGCCACCATTGCCCACCCTTGGTCTAGGGTCTTCTGCTTGAGCAGAGGGCTGGACTAGAAGACCTCCAAGGTCCCTTCCAACTCTGTTCTTCTGAGTTTTCTGGAAGATACACTGCTAGCATGAAATAAACATGCACCTCACAAGGGCTACTAGATAAGGGTATCCCAAGGAGAGTTTCAGCAGAACCCTGGGAGAACTGGGGTTGCCAATCCTCAACTAAAGGCCGCGTCAGGTAGAAGGAAGTGGGCAGGGCATTGCTTTAAGAGGTCTCCAAATCCAACCCTGGGCTTGTCCCACCCCCCTTCCTGCTGGCTGTGGAACCAAAAGGCAGCCCACCACGAAGGCCAGAGAAGCCCCAGGAGACTCCTGCACGGCCACCGCCTGGCATCACCCAAGGAGCCTGAAAGGGGCCTGCCGGGCATTGCCGTGCCTGTCCTCTGCAAGACCAGAAGGCCGCTGACCCAGCCACTTCCTTCTTTTGCAGAGTTTGGTCTCTTTACGCCCCGCTGCCCTTCCCCAAACGGATGCAGTCCAAAGCACGACGGACAAGGCCTCCCTTCCTGCTCCTGGCTGACCGGCCGGATGCCTTACGGTCCCCACTGCTCAGCTCCCCTCCGGCCAGAAGCGTTTTTGAAAACCTTCTCCCATTGCGTGGGATGGAGGCAGCTTTGGCCAAAAGCCCCCCTCCCCCTCGTTTTTTGCCATTTTAAAATTTACAATTCAGAGTAGAGCTGGAAGGGACCCAGAGGTCCTCTAGTCCAACCCCGTTCAGGCAAGAGCCTTGGTAGTACAGTGGTCTAAGGCACCCTGTTATTAAGACCAGCTGCCTGCAATTACTGCTGGTTCGAATCTCGCCAAGGCTCAAGGTTGACTCAGCCTTCCATCCTTTCTAAGGTAGGTGAAATGAGGACCCAGTTTGTGGGGGCAATAAGCTGACTTTGTATAAATATACAAAAATATGAAGGCTATTGCTGAGCACATTGTAAGCCACCCTGAGTCTCTGGAGAAGGGCGGCATATAAATCAAATTAAAAAAAAAAAAAGAGAGAGACCCTACACAATTTGAGACAAGTGGCTGTCCAGTCTCTCCTTGGAAACTTCCAGTGTTGAAGCACCCACAACTTCTGGTGACAAGCAGTTCCACTGGTTAATTGTCCTCACTGTTAGGAAGTTTCTCCTCAATTCCAGGTTGCTTCTCTCCTTGGTTAGTTTCCAACCACTGTTTCTTGTCCTGCCTTCAGGGTGCTTTGGAGAATAATTTGACCCCCTTCTCTCTGAGACAGCCCCCCAAGTATTGGAAGACCGCTATCATGTCGCCCCCCCCCTAGTCCTTCTTTTCTCTAGACTGGCCAAACCCAAATCCTGCGACCCTTCTTCCTATGTTTTAGCCTCCAGGCCTTTAAACATCTTAGTTGCTCTTCTCTGCGCTTTTTCCATTTTTTCTGTAATGTGGTGACCAAACCTATTTTGGGTAATCGCAGCTGCCTGTGTGCTGCAATTTAATTTTTCTCACCGTCAACAGTCATAACTTTGAATCTGCAGCCAAGATGCCTCAGCTTTCAACTACAATTTAGGACTGCAATTCCCGCTTCAATGATGGTTAAGCTGAGGAACACCTGTAATCCTTTCCTTTCCAGCCTTCGTTGCAGAATTGTACAGTTGGAAGGGGCTTCTGAGGTCATCCAGTCCAACCCAGCGGGTCCAAGTTAAAGTACAGGTAGTTCTTGACTAACAGCAATTCATTTAGTGACCGTTTGAAGTTACAAGGGCAGTGAAAAAAGTGACTTATGACTGTTATTCAGTTACAATGTTTGAATCATGCGGTCCAAATTCAGGCGCTTGGCAGCACTCACATTTACGACAGTCACAGCGCCCCGGGGTCATGTGATCCCCTTTTGCAACCTTCTGACCATCAAAGTCAATGGGGAATCCAGATTCACTTAACAACCGGGTTACTCACTTATGCACTGCAGTGATTCACTTAATAACCGAGGCAAGGAAGGTGGCAAAATGGGGACAAAACTCACTTAATCAATGTCTCACTTAACAACAGAAGTTTTGGGGTCCATTGTGGCCGTAAGCCGAGGACTCCCTGTCCCTTTGCCTGGGGGCTATCCTGCCTCTCCTTCAACTGGGAGAACCCACCGCCCCTCTCAAGCCATCCATTCCACGGACAAACTGGGTTGTTTTTGTTTCTGTTTTTCCTGGCTTGTTCAGTTAGAACCTCCTTTCCTGAAACTTCAACCCAGCATCCCACATCCGGCCCCAAAGCAGGAGCCGAAGGTCTCCTGGCACCTTCCAGCTGCTTGATAAGCCCTATCTCCCCATCCCACCTCCTTCCTCCAGGCACGCAGCTGGGTCAATCTCTCTGCACCATCTTGTCTTTCGGTTACCTGTCCCCGGTCCTCGGCCTCTGAACTGCTTCCAATTGAAGCCTTCTTAAAAACGAGCCCTCTTGCTCTCTGCTAAGGAAGTTAAAAATTAAAAAAAAAAAAAGATTTGCCAAGCTCCTTTGAAGGAAGGAGGGATTTCCCCCCCCCACCCCCCCCCAAGACAAAGTTATAAATTTTAACTTTTCATCTGGACCAGCGGTCTCCAACCTTGGCCACTCTAAGGTTTGTGGACTTCGACTCCCAGAATTCCTCAACCAGCTTAGCTGGGAGTTGAAGTCCAGAAGTCTTAAAGGGGCCGTAGGTGGGAGACCCCTGATCTGGACAAACTCTTGCCGAAGTCTTGTGACGACCGGATCCTGTTCAAGATGTTTTACAAAAGCCAGGTTCTCTACCAGCTGCTCTGGGGATCTTTTGACGGTTTCCACTTTCCCACATTTTCTTTCTTTCTCTCTCTCTCTCTCTCTCTGTCCCTTTCAATTTGTCCTCCTCCAGTTTTCTGGCGCTCCACCAGCTTTCCAGGATTTTTCAAGGGGAGACTGGAGGGTTCAGCCAGACTGTCAGCTTCCTTTCTTTCGCATCCGAGGATGCAATTCATCCGGAGCCTTCAGCTGGAGGACAAAACCTCCCGTCTTTAATCCTGCCTCTTCATCCTGGCCTTCCTTGTTGGCTTTCAATCCATCAGAATGGAGCTGGAAGGGGCCTTGGAGGTCTTCTAGTCCAACCCCACTCAGGCAGGAAACCCTGTACCATTTCGGACAAATGCCGGTCCCATCTCCTCTTAAAAACTTCCAGTGCTGGCGCCTTCACAACTTCTGGAGGCAAGTTGTTCCACCGATTAATTGTTTATAAAGCGGTACTTTATAAAGAGGCGCTAATCCTAATAGGGCTGTTCTTGAACATGGAACCAAGAACGGGAACTCCGTACAGGTAGTCCTCGATTTACAACTGTTCGTTTAGTGAAAGTTGCCACGGCGCTCCAAAAAGTGATTTATGACCGTTTTTCACACTTACGACCGTTGCAGCTTTGTGGTTATGTGATCAAAATTTGGACACTTGGCAACTTGTTCACATTTATGACAGTCATAGCATCTCGGGGGGGGGGGATCATGTGACCCCCCTTCTGCAACTTTCTGACAAGCAAAGTCAATGGGGGGAAGCCGGATTCACTTAACATCCGTGTCACTAACTGAACAACTGTAGTGGTTCACTTAACCAATGTGGCAAGAAAAGTGGTAAAATAGAACAAAACTCATTTAACAAATGTCTCGCTTAGCAACATAAATTCTGGGCTCAATTGTGGCCTGTACTCCAGACTCAGCAATTACAAATTTCTTTGTTTCTTTCTTTGCTTCTTTTATTTCATTTAGAAAATTTATGCAGCCGCCTATTCGCTCGCAGCGGCTTACAAGCAATAAAAAACAGGATAGGAAAAATAAAAATAAAGAATATAAAACCACAGCCCCCCCCCCCCCCGCACCCATTCGCCCCTCAGTGACCCACCCACCATCAAAGGAGCCGGTTGATGGGCCCCATCCCACTCGGGGTCCCCCAGGCCCGCTGGACAAACCCCGTCTTCAGACCCTTATGAAAGAGTGTCCGGGGGGGGGGCAGTGTAATTTGTGGGTTTGTGAACGCAGAATGTGCATTGTCAAAGAGAAGCCACTGCAGTAGTCGGAGCAGTAGTAACAACGACTAGAGACTCTCAGTGGTTCTTACTCAGAGGCAGGAAACACGGAAACCTGGCTGAACCTGCCCCTCCCCCTCCACTGGTGGGGGCTTCTGTACAGACAGCCCCCCCTGCTGCCCCCCCCGGCTAGAGATGTTCTTGTTGGGGGGGGGGGAGTCAGCAGACAGAGAATTGGGGTCTCTGTTCCGTTTGGGAGGTGCCCCAAAACTACAGGTAGTCCTTGACTTACAATGCTTCATTGAGCGACCGTTCGGAGTTACAACAGCACTGGAAAAAAGGACCGTTTCTCACACTAACGACTGTGCCGGCATCCCCACGGTTATGCCATCCAAATTCAGACCCTTGGCAACTGACTCGCATTTACGACGGACGCAGTGTCCCGGGGGGGGGCTGTCACGCGATCCCCTTTGGCGACCTTCCGACCGGCAAAGTCAACGGGGAGAACCAGATTCACTTAATGACCGTGTGACAAACTTAACAACAGCAGTGATTCGCTTAACATCTGCAGCGAGAAAGGGGCAAAATCCGCTTAACGCCTGTCTTGTTTACCAATGGAAATATGGGGCTCCGTTTCGGTCGTAAGTCGAGGACTACCTGTAACGGCTCCAGAATCCTCCCTCGCTGATGGGGGTCTCAGGGGCTGGAGCGGGTTCAAATCTCCGCATCCGACAGGCACCTGGGACAGATCCCGAAACAAGGCAGTGGGGGGAATCCCTGCCCCCCAGGGAAGAGCCCTGCCAGCTGCAGGAGATGCTGCCCTCCGCCTTGGCAGGCCGGCCAAGCAGCCCTTCCCACCCCAGGAAGCTTCAGAGAGGACGGGGGCTGGGCTCCCTCTCAGTCCGTGGGTCAGCTTCAGCCTCCCAGGGGAGGTGGGGAGGGGGCCAGGGGGGTCCTTCCTCCTGCGTGCTCCTCTCCATTCACTGCGGGCTGGACTCTTCCACCGCGGCTGAAATGGGAAACACACGCAGGAAAAACAAAATTCACCCAGCCTGCACGGGAAAGTGGGGGTGGGAAGTGGGGGGCGAGTTCCCCATAGCATTGAGGCGGGGCGGGGAGGATAAACAGGGAGGAGAAGCCGGAGCTGGTAAAACCCCGGAGCATCTCTTTGCACAGAGGCTCTTTGTCTGCGGGCTGAACCCACAAACTCCTTTCATCTTCAGAGCCTCCCATTCATCGCCTGCAGAACCCCCCCCCCCCTCGTCCCCCCCCCCCCCCAGGTTTCTGGCAGGCAGGCTGGCTGATTCACCCTTTCCTGGGGCCACGTTTAGCCGAGAAGCTATTTCCGGATTTCCTGCCCCAGGAGAGGAATTTTGGAAAGTGCTCAGGAGGCTGCTGGCCTCTCGGTGGCCAGATGTGCTTTGCATCTGGGGGGAGGAGGGAGCTATTCTGGGACACCCCCCTCCTCCCGCTGCCACCCCAAGGGACCGTCTAGGACAGTGTTTCTCAACCTTGGAAGCTTGAAGATGGGTGGACTTCAACTCCCAGAATCCCCCAGCCAGCTCAGCAGCTCTGAGATTGCATCAGATAAAGGCAAGAAAATGACCTTGAGGGACCCTTCACCAAAGACCGTTCACAAGCCTCAGCACTGATGACGTTCCCTAGTTGGGTCATGAAACGTCTGCAAGGAAACCACCAAAGCTCAGAGAGCACCAAGGACCCCACAGCTCAACCCTGAGCTTCAAAGAGCCTCTGCACTCTTGTTGAACCTTGGAGTGTGCCCACAACTGCCACCTTCCACTGCTGGGAGGCTTTGTGGAGCTTCCCAGCCCCTCAGAAACCGTGGGTCGAATCCCTTTGCAGCCAGCCGGGGGAAGAGGGGGGGAGGATGAGAGAGAAGTGCTTCTCACGCTGCCTGCCAGCTGGCGGCTAATGCCCAGGTCCCCCTTGGCAGCTGTGCCCGCTGCCAGCTTACTCACGCTTGGCCGTCAGCAGGGTAGTGCCATGGCAACAGGAGACTGAGACGACCAGGCTGGGGGGCCCCCCCTCTTCCAGCTGCACGGGACGCGGGCTCCTCGTCTCCTCCTCCTTCCTGCCCAGGCGGCCCCGGGCGCTCTTCCCCCAGGTGTAGACCTCGCCATCTGGAGAGGGCACAGGTGGCAAGGTGACCCGGCTGCCCCGCACGCCCCCCAAGTGGTGCCCGAAGTCTCAGAACCTCCCGGGCGGCAGCTCACCTGCTCCCACTGCCAAGGTGAAGGCGTCCCCACAGCCCACCATGGTGACTCGGGTGGCCTGGAGCCCCTCCACCAGGTACGGGGCCCGGCTGGCCCGGCTGGAGATGGGGCCCAGCTGCCCATGCTGGTTGCTGCCGATGGTGTAGCACTGACCGGAGGCTGTCGACGGAAGAGGGAAGAGTGCATCATTCTGCGGGGTTTGCCCGCTCTTTTCGGGGGGGTGGTCCCTGCCTCCTGAGCTAGACCCCCGAGGCTCAGCAAAGGCCAGGCAAGGAAGGTGCCGGACTATTAAGACCAGCATCCTGGACTTCTTTCAGGAGTTATGCTGGTAGAGGGCCTGGGGAAAGGGGCAATTTTCACGGCACTGATGATGTTCCCTAGTGGGGTTGTGAAACGTTTGCAAGAAAAGAACCAAGCTCAGAGAGCCCCAGGGACACCCCCCCCCCAGTCCTCCCCCCTCCCCCTCCTCTGCTCCACAACCCTCACTCCCGTCTTGCACTGATGATCTTCCCTAGTTGGGACATGCAAGTGGGTTTTGCCCTATTTTGTGACCTTTCTTGCCATGGTTGTTAAGTGAATCGCTGCAGTTGTTAACTCAGTAACACGGTCGTTAAGTGGATCCGGCTTCCCTGTTGACTTTGCTGGTCAGAAGGTCGCAAAAGGGGATCACATGACCCTGGGACACTGCGGCCGTCATAAATACGAGGCAGCTGCCAAGCATCCGAATGTAAATCACGTGACCGCGGGGAGGCTGCAACGGTCGTTAAGTGTGAAACACGGTCCTAAGTCACTTTTTTCAGTGCCGATGGAACTTAGAACGGTCACTAAACGAACCGTTGCATGGCGAGGACTGCCTGACCTCCGAAGGCGAAGGCTTCCTGGTTTGTTCAGCAGAACTGCCCCTCGGGGCTCCCTGGGGCTCTCACCGGTGATGGCCGCGGAGTGGGCGGTTCCGATGTCCGCGCCCACAATGACCTCTTGGCTCAGGGGGGCCGAGTTGGCAGGGCTGAAGGTCAGCACTTCCTCCACCTGAAGGTCAGCAGTGGGGAGGGGCTCCCCCGGGGACACAATCCTGTCCTGGCAAAGCTTGTTGTACCTATGGGAGGGGGGGAAGAGTCAGTGTCCAGCTGCCGCCACTTACCCTGAGCCCCCTACCCGGCTTGCTTGGCACTCAGCTGCCAGTTTGGCCTCTGGCCCCCCAACCAAGACAAGGGGGGGTTCCTAGCCTCCGGGAGGGGCAAAACCTGAGTCCTCGGGTCATCCCCAGCCCCTCCTGGACCGGGCAGCGCTGGGACCCTGGCCCTACCTGTTGCTGCCACAGGCCAGGATCTGGTTGTTGGACGTGAGGATCATGGAGGCATCGATGCCACACAGCACCTTCTGGGCTTCGTAGCCAGCGGGAAGGGGCACCAGCTGTGGGGAGTTGTGGGACTCCTGGTTCCCCAGCCCCAGGCGCCCTGGGGAGATGGAAGAAAAGGGGCTGCTGGAGGGGGCTCTCAATAGCTCCCCACGAGGGTCTCTGAGCTGGGAAGAAGAGGCCGGCAGCAGGCCAATGAATTCAGGAGGAAGGGGGGGGGCTTCTCACCGTTGTCGCCCCTGCCCCAGGTGAAGACTTCCCCTTCGCTGGAGAGGGCCAGGACGTGGGAGGATCCACAGGCGGCTTGCGTGATCTCGTATCCCAGCAGGGCCTCCACGATCTTGGGCTGCAAAGAGAAGGTCAGAAGAGCTGACGCCAAGGCCATTCCAGGCCCCCCCCCTCGCCCCTCCCGGCTTCAATTCTCTCCCACCCCTTCTGCACCCCTGGGAAGCCCAGGTGAGGTTTGTCTCGAGGCAGGAGAAGAAGGAAGGAAGGTGGCCACTGCATGGAGATCGCTCACCCTCCATCCCTGCTTCTCTCCATCCCGGGAAAATCCGAAGAACAGAGTCGGAAGGGACCTTGGAGGTCTTCTAGTCCAACCCCCTGCTCGAGCAGGAGACCGAAGACCAGAGATGTCCAACCTTGAACCTTTTAAGATTTGGGGACCTCAACTCTCAGAATTCCCCAGCCAGCAGGAGTCCACAAAAGTTCCCCAAATGGGACATTTTTACTCTACCGCATTCCAGACCAATGGCTGCCTGGTCTCTTCTTGAGAAACCTCCAGGGATCATTCCGGATTTTGAATTCTGGAAGTTGAAGTCCTCACATCTTAAAAAGACCCAAGGTTGGACATCCCTGGTCTAGGGTCTCCTGATCAAGCAGGGGGTTGGACTAGAAGATCTCCAGGGTCCCTTCCGACTCCGTTCTTCTGATGCCTCCATGCAGCTGAGTTGAGAAAGTCTTTTCCTTTTAAACCACAGTTCCCAACTCTTTCGGGCTTTGCAGACCAGCGCAGGGGGGGGAGGGGGAAGAGAGGGGATGGTTTCGCGCGAGCGGTGGGCAACACCGCACACAGCTCTATTTGCATAAGTGGCCTGCATGCACACACACTGCTCGGGCAAACGGAGCACCGGTGCTCACCCGCTGCTTGCACAAGGGGGGAAATGCAGGTTTTGAACAGCTCAGGGCCCGGTAGTGGGCCATGGCCAGGGGGTTGAGGGCCCCCATTTTAAAACTCCTGCAGAATCTTAAGAATAGAATAGAATTTGAAACAATGGAATGGAATAAGGAATGGAATAAGGAATGGAATGGAATGGAATGGAAATGGAAATGGAAATGGGAATGGGAATGGGAATGGGAATGGGAATAGAATAGAATAGAATAGAATAGAATAGAATAGAATAGAATAGAATAGAATAGAATAGAATAGAATAGAATAGAATAGAATAGAATAGAACAGAACAGAATAGAATAGAACAATTCTTTATTGGCCAAGTGTGATTAGACAGACAAATCCTTACAAAGGATTACACACTTACAAAGTGTGTAAGCTCTCAGTGTACATAGAGCAATCGTGAGAAGCAACCAAGTGACTGTCATAAGGGAGCAGGGAAGATGAGAATAAGGATGGCAATACTGCCGTTTTAGATAGTTTGACAGTGTTGTGGGGCCTCCCAGCAGCCCTCCTGTGCCGTTTTCCTCCTTTTACAGACGGAGGGCAGGGGGGATGGTGGATAAAACGAGAACATGAGGCTCCCCCAATCAGCCCTGAGCCCACCCTGCATTCCTCGCTGACTGCCCCCCCCACTCCACGGGCATATCCAGAGGCTTGAGCCCAGAGCAGAACCAACCTGGCTGACGTCCACGAAGGCTCCGTGTCCTAAGCAGCCACTGCTGCCACTGCCGAAGGTCAGAACGATCCCTCTGTCTGTGGGGAGGAAATATTGGGCATCAGCCCCCCCAACTCTGGGCTTGCAACTGGCTGAGTCAGGCCAGAGCAGCAGGGATCCAGGAAAACAGGCCAGCCTGGATAGACAACGGGGGGGTGGGGGCTGCTGAGGTCTGCTGGACCCCAAAAGTCAGGAAAAGGACCAACCAGGACAGGGAGGACCGGGGCAAAAGGAGTTTTCAACAGAGCCATGTTGAGAAGCAGCTCAACTCAACGGTTGGCTTCCCCGAAGGAAAATGAGAGACAGCGCAATCAGATGTGTAGGATTTGAATACTGCAGCCCAGGGGCCTCCTCCAAACGTGGCCCCTTTAAGACCCCTGGGCTTCAAAGCCTGCAGAGCTGGGAGTTGAAGTGGCCGTGTCTGGAGACCCCTCCCCTGGTGGGACGAGGCCAATTCAGCCGCAGAAACATTTCTCAAGCGGAGGGAAAACCCATCTGGGGTTTCAGTCGTGAAAACTGAATTTATTTCCTCTCCAGCCCATTGCAAGCCTTCCAGCTGTCCAGGGGAGAGAACATCTGCATCCCAGCCACTGTGCAGACCCACCGTGTGGTTGACTTCTCGGGACCCTGCAAGGACACACACACACACCCACACACCCTTGCCCCTTCCCCTACCTGTCAAGCAGACGGTGAAGAGATCCCCGCAGGCCACGTGCTTGATGGTCACTCCGGACTGGCCCTCCAGGAAGCGACACACAAACTGGGGGTGCAGCTGCTCCGTGGCCCCTGGGAGCGAGGGCCCCCCGACCATGCCAAAGGGGGGTGGCTGTGGAGGGGGGAAAGCAGCAACAGCGAGACCAGGTCAGGCACAGAGGGTCAGATGCAAAATCCTCTTCCTCCTCTCCACAACCCCCCCTCCCTCCTAGCACTGATGATGTTCCCTAGGTGGGTCATGAAACGTCTGCAAGAAAACCACCAGGCTCAGAGAGCACCAGGGACCCCCACAGTCCCCCACCTCCTCCCCTTCCCCCAAGAGCCTGGCTGCCCCCCTCCCATCCTCTTCCCAGATACTTCATTCTTTCTTTCCACCCCCCCGCCCTCCGAGAGTTGAACTGTTTGTGGTTATTCCGTTCGAATTGGCAGGGGAGGGGGGCATCTGTTTCCCCTTTGACATGCCTCTTCCACCTCTGCGATGCCAGCCCTGCTGGTGCCCACCCAAATCTCCCCTCTTGACCCCACTTGGAGCTAACACCGGCTCTGGATGTCCTGTCTTTAAAATAAAGCTGGAGCAAACATGGGTGAGTTAGAACCGGGGAGTGGGGGGTAACCAGCCTCTCCCTGACTTCCTTGCTCAGCTCCGTTGCAAGCAGAGAGAGAGAGGGGGTCTCTCACCTCCCACATGACCAGCCGCCCGGATTTGGTCACGCCGGCCTTAAGCGTGCGGCCTATGGACACCTGCACCACCTCCGTGTTCAGCATGGGCAGGCGGAGGGGAGTGGTGATGCCAGAGCCCCAGGTGTAGATGGAGGACAAGGCTGGGGGGAGGCCAGGCCTGGGCGCCCCAGAGCGACAACCTGCGTCCGTCCGAGAGAAGGAGGTCAGTGGGATGGTGGCAGGGCAGGGCCGGGGGGGGGGGTTAGGGTCACTGCTCTCTCCAGCCAGCCCCAGCCCCAAGAAGAGGACCCCCAAGTCCAACCCTCCCTTGGGGCAAAATCCCAGGCAGTCCTTTGAGGGCAGAGAGGGAGACCCCCCCACCCACTCTTACCCCTCACTCTGGCCGCAACAGTCGCACCCCCGGCTCTGCTCTGGGCCACGGGAGGCACCCCCTTCCACGACTTCTCGGGTCTGCCAAGAGCAGGAGAGGACAGGTAGTCCTCGACTTAGGACCGAGTTGAGCCCCAATATTCCCGTGGCTAAGCAAGACTGTTCAAGGAGCCTTGCCCCCTTTTATGGCCTTTCTTGCCACCGTTGTTAAGTGAATCTGGCTTCCCTGTTTGACTTTGCTGGTCGGAAAGTTGCAAAAGGGGATCGTGTCACCCCGGGACCGTCATTAATATGAGTCAGATGTCCAACATCTTGATCACGTGACTGTCGGGATGCTGCAACGGTCATAAGTGTGAGAAAGGGCCCTAAATCCCTTTTTTTTTGGTAACTTCGAATGGTCACTAAGTGAACCGTCGTAAGTGGAGGACCCCCTGTGTTCATCAGGTGGGGGGAAAGGAGCAGGGAGAGGGAGAGGAGGGGTTGGGGGCAACAGGAGGGCCTCCCTCCCCACTTGCCTCCTCATCCGGACGCTGCCCACATCGGTGTAAAGGTTGAGCAGGGGCTGGACACAGAGGGCCTCCGCCATGATCTCGTCCAGCTGAGGCCGCTTGGAGGGCTCCAGGTTGAGCAGGCTGAGGATCAACTGGCGCAGCTCCGGGCTGTAGCGGTCCGAGATGGGCGCAAAGGTGCCGCTCATGATCTTCAGAACCAAAGCAGGCAGGTTCTGCGGGAGAGGAGGGGGGAGGGGTTGCGGTCAGCCAATCGGAGGGGAAGCAGGGCCCCCCCAAAATGCCCCAGGTGGGCGGGGGGACAACAACCACCACCCTGTGAGGTGGGCTGGGCTGAGAAAGAGGGTCTGGCCCAGAGTCACCCGGCTGGCTTTCGCGGCTAAGGCAGGACTAGAACTCACAGCCTCCCAGTTTCTAACCCCTCTGCCTCCTTCAGTGCTGCCTGCTCTGAGACTGGCCTTCGGGGGCCTCCGGGATTTGGCCACTCTGTGCCCCCCACCCTTTCCTAGGAAGCCCCTCTGTATAAGACGGGCCCTGTGCTCCGGCCGAGAGACCCTCCCCCCTCTTCATGCCATGGTGGCCACGGAGTTCTTGGCTACGGACAGAGCTTCCCCAACTGTAAGGGGCCAGCTCTTCCGGAGCATGCTGCAGGCTGCGTTCAGGGGTCCCAGGGCAGCAGTCCCCCCACCCCACCCACCCACGCCCCCCCGTGTTCCAGTCCAGGGTCTTACGGCTGCCTCGAAGGCCCTCTTCAGACTGGCCAGTTCGTAGAGGACGCAGCCCAGGGCCCAGATGTCGCTCTTCTGGTTGTAGGGCTTTCCTTCGCACAGCTCCGGGGAGATGTAGCAAGGGGTGCCCACCACCTGAGGAAAGAGCCCCCACCCCCCAAGGAATCCCCGTCAGCGAATCTATTACCCCTAGAACCCCACCCTGCCCCAGCTCAGTCCCATACAGGGAGTCCTCGGCTTACGACCACCACTGAGCCCCCAATTTCCGTTGGAAAGTGAGTTTTGCCCTGATGGTCTTTCTTGACCCGGTTGTTAAGCGAATCTGGCTTTCCCCATCGGCTCTACTCCTCAGAAGGACGCAAAGGGGGAAAGACGTGACCCCGGGGGACACAGCAACCGTCATAAATATTAGTCAGTTGCCCAGTGTCAGAATGTTGATCATGCAATTACAGGGAGGCTGCAACGGTCATAAGTGTGAAAAACGGTCATAAGTCACTTTTTCAGAGCCGTTATAACTTTGAACGGTCACTAAAGAGTTGTGAGTCAAGGACTCCTTGTAGAAGACACTGCCTGCTTGTGGGCCAGAGAGCTAAGCAGAGGGGAGGGAGAGGTTGCCTGAGACCCCTCCCCAAGGGAGGCAAGGACCAGGACAGACCCTGCCCCCCCCCCTTCCTGCCACTCTCCTGTCAAAGCCAGGGACAATTTTCCCCATGGCCAACTCACCAAGACCATGGAGGACAACTCAATGTGAAATAACTATAATATTAATAATATTTCTCATACAGGAAGTCCTCGACTTACCAACAGTTCATTCAGCGACCGTTCGAAGTTATGACGGCACTGAAAAAAGCAACTTAAGACCATTTTTCATGCCTACAACGATTGCGGTATCCTCCCCTGGTCGCGTGATCAAAATTCAGACTCTTGGCAACTGAGTCGTATTTATGACGGTCAAAGTGTCCCCAGGGTCACATGATCCCCCTTTTATGACCTTCTGACAAGTCATGTCACCCAGGGAAGCTGGATTTCACTTAACAACGGTGTTGCTGACTACCACACACACACACACACCGGCCTGCCGAGGTCAAACACAGCCCTGATGCGGCCCTCAGTGAAATTGAGTTTGACACCCCCGGCTTAGCCGCTGCGGCAAGGTCGCAAAATGGGGCAAACCTCACTTAACCACCGTCTCGTTTAGCAACGGAAACTTTGGCCTCAGTTTTTGGTCGTAAGTCAAGGACCACCTCCACTATTAAGAGGGTCTATAGTTATCTCAGGTTAAGTTGACGGCAGGCTGGCCGTGGCGTCCCAGACCCGTGGCTGACTCTGCCCGCTTTGCCCAGGAAGGGCCAGGGGAGACTCACAGTGTAGGCCTTGCTCTTGCTGCTGAGGATCTTGGAGATGCCGAAGTCTCCGATCTTGACCGTGGTGTGGTGCTTGTCCAGGAGGATGTTCTGGGTCTTGAGGTCCCGGTGGAGGATCTGCTTGGCGTGGACGTGGTGAAGGGCCAGCAGGATCTGCGCGAAGAAGTGCAGGATGGTCTCTTCGTCCAGGAGGGAGTTGCCCCGTTTATGGATGAATTCGGCCAAGGTCCCACCTGGGCAGGAGAGGAGGGAGGGGGGAGGTGGCCTTAGGCCCCGTGACTGCAGAGCCAGCGACCCCCGGAGGGTTTGCGCCCCACTGAAAACCCCACGGTCTCTTTGGCCTCTCAACGTGGCTGCCAGCAGGTTCTGTGTACGGTCTTCGCTTTAAAACAGGAACATCCAACCTTCTGGACTTCAACTCCCAGAATTCTGCTGGCTGGGGAATTCTGGGAGTTGAAGTCCACAAGTCTGAAAGTGACCAAGGTTGGACATGTCCTCTTTTGACCGTGAGCTACCAACACCCCATGTATCTGCAATTATGAACAGAACCCAAGGGCAACTGGACTGCCCTGTCCTCTGATGGCCACTGTCCAGATACAGGTAGTCCTCGGCTTATGACCACAACGGAGTCCAGAATTTATGTTGCAAAGTGAGAAATTCATTAAGTGAGTTTTGCCCCATTTTACAACTTTTCTTGCCACGTTTGTTGAGCGAATCACTGAGGTGGTTGAATTAGTAACAGGGTCGTTCAGTGAATCTGGCTTCCGCATTGACTTGGCTCATCAGAAGGTGTCAAAAGGGGATCACGTGACCTCTGGGCATGGCGACCGTCATAAATATGAACCCGCTGTCAAGCATCCGAATGTAAATCACGCCACCGTGGTGGGTGCTGCAAAGGTCGCAAGTGTGAAAAACGGTGATAGGTCACATTTTTCAGTGCCGTTGCAACATTGAATGGTCACTAAGTGAACTGTCGTAACTCGAGGACTACCCGTAATCAGTGGGACGGTTTGCCTCCAGGCGTTGTGGCTGCTCCTTCATTGGAGACCTGCAAGAAGAGATTGGACAACCATTTGCCTGGAATAGGGCAGGGTCTCTCCTGCAGGGGGCTGGACTAGAAGGCCTCTAAGGTCCCTTCCAAGTCACCTTCTGAGACCTGGAGCCGGTTCCCCCTTTGGGGAGAAGGGCTGGGTGTGGGGAGATGGGAAGGGGTTGTGCATTCCAGGCTTCTCAAATCAGAACCACGTGCCGCTGGCTGCAGAGAGCAAGGCAGGGCTGGGAACGGTTCGACCAGGCAAGACTCCAATCCGAATTCCAGGCCCCTGGGCCAAGAGGAGGGGAGACGGGTGTGCGGAGCCCCCCAGGGACTGGGAATCATCAGAACCCCACTCTCCCCCCCCCCACATACACACAGAGGAGCCCTTGGGCAAAAGGGAGGAGAAGACCCACCGAGGGTTAAGGGATCCAGAAAAAAGAAGAAAGCAAGAAAGCTTGTCTCTCCCCCCCCCCCCCCCCCACTTCTCCTCCAAGGGCAGAAGGAGCCCAACCTGTTTGGCAGCTCTGCCAGGGGGGCTCAGGCACACAAAACAGCCCTTTGTTGGCAGCCCCGGTGGGGCCGACTCTTGCAGGGAGTGCCTCCCTTCCCCACCCCCTCCACCCCCAGGCTCTGAAATCCGACACACACCACACGTACACAGAGACACACTTGCTTCTGGAACAAGGGTAGGAGGGATTCCCTGGGCCCAGCACCCTCAGCAGCTCTCCCCCCCCACACACACACACAGCAGCCCAGGTGTTAGCAGGAGGCAGCCCATGGGTTACTTATGTGTCCCCCCCCCCCACACTTTGGAGCCTGGGGCCGGAGAGGAGGAGGGAGTAAGGTGGGGCGGGGGTCTTCCTTGCTGCATGGAGGGGGGGAGGGAGAGGCTGCTTCCTGGAGTCCTTCCCCTCTCCTCCCCCCACCCCCATCGCACTACGGTGCCACACTCGCCAGCACAAACACACAGGTGGCTGGAGACCCCCCACCCCCAGAGACCCTGGGAGAGGGAACAGGGCCAGGCCACAGGCTCCACAGTTAGTCCTCGACTTAACTTAACGGCTTGTTTAGTGACTATCTGAAGTTACAACGGCATTGGGAAAAAAAGTGCTTAGGACCGGTTTTCACACTTAACAACCGCTGCGGCATCCCTGTGGTCACGGGATCAAAATTCAGACGCTTGGCAACCGACTCGTATTTATGACGGTCGCAGGGTCACGGGATCCCCTTTTCCAAAAGTCAACGGGGAAGCCGGATTTGCTTAACGACCCATAAGTCTAACTTTCACAACAGCAGGGATTCCCTTAACGTATGTGGCAAGAAAGGACCTTAAAAGTGGGGCAAAGCTCACTCACAAACGTCTCACTTAGCAACATAAATGTTGGGCTCAATTGTGGTCGTAAGTCGAGGACTACCTGTATCACCAAGAGACCCCCCCCTGGGGAACTAGCAAACTCGATCTATTTTCTGAGCTTGGTGGTTTTCCTGCAGACGTTTCATGGCCCCACTAGGGAACATCATCAGGGCTAATAAGGAGCTGAGTAGCATGGATGATGTTACCTAGTGGGGTCATGAAACGTCTGCAGGAAAACCACCAAGCTCTTGAGAGCAGCAAGGATTCCTCCTTTCAACCCTGAGCTACAAATAGTCTCCTTTATTAGATCTATTCTCTCACTTTTACGGGAAGTCCTCCACTTGCAAACTTTCATTTAACAACTGATCAAAATTACAACGGTGGCCCACACCAATGGCCACTGCATGGTCATGTGACCAGAATTTGGAGGCTTGGCAACAGACCCCTATTTATGAAGGCTGCAGTGTCCCGGGGTCACGTGATCACCATTTGTGACCTTCCAAGCTGGCTTCTGACAGGCAAAGTCAATGGGGAAACTGGATTTGCTTAACGACTGCACGCTTCGCTTAACAACCATGGCAAAAAACCCTCATATAATCGGGCAACGCTCAGTTCAGAGCAACTGCCTCGCTTGGCAACAGGAATTCTTGTGGTCGTAAGTCAAGGACTACCTTGTACAGAGTTCCTCATGCTTGTGGTCAAGACTCTAATTCTGACCAATCAATTCAGGCCACTGAACCTGAATAGGGCTGGTGAATAAGCGCTAAGAAACGCTGGATATTTAGAAATCTGCTTGAAATAACTGGCTCATGGTCTTCTTCCGCCTGCCAATAAAATTCAGAGCAAAACTCCCAGGGATGAATACGGAGGACGGTTTTCTCAGCTCCGGAGCCGGTTTGCCTTCCCACAAAAAGTACTTTTGACCTTGTTCTTTTATCTAATGTATTTATTCATGCAAAACATTTATACAGCCTCCCGTTTTATAATCCAGCTCCGGGCGTCTCCCAATGCAAAGTAAAAACCCATAAAAACCGTAATAAAAGCATAAAACGAAGCGCATTATAAACATGAAGCACGACAAAAACCTGGCACCAAGCCAGACTTCTCGTGTTCAGTTTGTCCAATCTGATCCCAGCGTTTCGGCGGAGGGGGGCTTCCATGCCTTATGGGGAGGGGGTGAGGAGGGTGGAGGCCTGCCAAATTTCAGGGGGAGGGGTGTCTTCCATGGGGCTAGGACTGCCAGGGAAGAGGCAAATTCCCTAGCTCCCATCAGATGGCAACATTCATTCATTCATTCCATCAATCACTCAATCAATCAGAATAGAACTGGAAGGGACCTTGGAGGTCTTCTAGTCCAGCCTCCTGCTCAAGCAGCAGGCCCTCCACCAGTCTCTTCTTAAAAGAACTCCAGTGATGAAGCACCCACAACCTCTGAAGTTGTGGGGTTCAGGGGAAATTCAGGGGAAGGGGCTAGGAGCATGCCCATGGATCTGACCTAGTAGGAGTTAGAAAAGGAATAGGAATAGGAATAGGAATAGGAATAGGAATAGGAATAGGAATAGGAATAGAATAGAATAGAATAGAATAGAATAGAATAGAATAGAATAGAATAGAATAGAATAGAATAACAGAGTTGGAAGGGACCTTGGAGGTCTTCTAGTCCAACCCCCTCCCCTGGCAGGAAGCCTTTATACCATTTTAGACAAATGGTTACCCAACATCTTCTTAAAAACTTCCAGTGTTGGAGCATTCACAACTTCTGGAGACAAGTTGTTCCACTGATTAATTCTAAGTGTCAGGAAATTTCTCCTTAGTTCTAAGTTGCTTCTCTCCTTGATTAGTTTCCACCCATTGCTTCTTGTTCTACCCTCAAGTGCTTTGAAGAATAGTTTGACTCCCTCTTCTTTGGGGCAGCCCCTGAGATACTGGAAGACTGCTATCATGCCTCCCCCAGTCCTTCTTTTCATTAAACCAGACATACCCAGTTCCTGCAACCGTTCTTCATATGTTTTAGCCTCCAGTCTTCTATTTATTTATTTATTTTATTTTATTAAATTTCTATACCGCGCTTCTCCCGAAGGACTCAGGGCGGTGAACAGCCAGAAGATAAAAAACAGAGATACAAAGTTTAAAATAGATTAAAATGAATTAAATAATTTAGGCTGAATTTTAAAATACCCCATAATTAAACAGATTAAAATTTGTGTTTAAAATTTAAATTTAAAAAAGGAGAAGATTTAGGCCAGGCCAGCTTGATGAAATAAAAACGTTTTAAGCGCGCGACGGAAGGTGCGAAGATCCGGGATCCTCCGTATCTCCGTGGGGAGCTCGTTCCAGATCGTGGGTGCCCCCACAGAGAAGGCTCTCCCCCTAGGGGCCGCCAGTCGACATTGTTTGGCCGACGGGACCCGGAGGAGCCCCTATCTATGGGAGCGTACTGGCCAGTGGGAGGCTATTGGTGGTAGCAGGCGGTCCCGTAGATAACCAGGTCCTAAGCCATGGAGCGCTTTAAAGGTGGTAACCAAAACCTTGAAGCGCACACGGAAGACCACCGGGAGCCAGTGCAGCTCGCGCAGGAGAGGTGTTACATGGGAGCTCCACGTTGCTCCCATAACCACCCACGCGGCCGCACTCTGCACCAGTTGGAGCCTCCGAGTGCACCTCAAGGGGAGCCCCATGTACAGACGGGAGGTGACGAGGGCATGAGTGACTGTGTGAGGGGGGTCCCGATCCAGAAAGGGACGCAACTGGCGGATCAGGCGAACCTGATGAAAAATCCCCGGTCAAGTGCTCTTCTAAAGACAGCCGTGAATCCAGGAGGACGCCCAAGTTGCGAGCCCTTTCCGTGGGGGCCAATGATTCACCCCCAATAGTCAGCGATGGCACCAGCTGACTATATCGGGACGTCGGAAACCACAGCCACTTGGTCTTGGATGGGTTGAGCCTGAGCCTGTTCCTCCCCATCCAGATCCGTACGGCCTCCAGGCACCGGGACATCACTTCAAGGGCATCGTTGGGGTGGTCCGGGGTGGAGATGTACAGCTGGGTGTCGTCAGCGTACTGATGGTACTCCACCCCGAAACCACGGATGATCTCGCCCAGCGGCTTTACATAAATGTTGAACAAAAGGGGCGAGAGGACCGATCCCTGCGGCACCCCACATATGAGGGGCCTCGGGGTCGACCTCTGCCCCCGTCAACACAGACTGCGACCGGTCGGAGAGAAAGGAGGAGAACCACCGTAATACGGTGCCTCCCACCCCCAACTCTTCCAACCGGTGCAGCATGATACCATGGTCGATGGTATCAAAAGCCGCTGAGAGATCTAACAGGACCAAGACAGAGGAGCAACCCCTGTCCTAAGCCCTCCAGAGATCATCAACCAACGCGACCAATGCCGTTTCCGTGCTGTACCCAGGCCTGAAACCCGACTGGAACAGATCTAGATCTAATCATCTAGATCATTCTAATCATCTTTGTTGCTCTTCTCTGCACTCTTTCTAGAGTCTCCACGTCTTTTTTACATCATGGCGACCAAAACTGGATGCAATATTCCAAGTGTGGCCTTACCAAGTTAAACATTTCAACCTTGGAACGTTGTGGACTTCAGCTCCCAGAATTCCTCTTGGTCTCCCATCCCAGTACGATCCGGTTCTGCCTGGTCTGAGCTGATCAGAGAGTCTGCCCAGGGTTGCCACCTTCAAACTCCGAGTAAGGGTGAAATGTTTCTCTCTCCTTTCTTCTGAAGAAGGGCTGCCACCCCTTTGGTGGGCAAAGCTTCCCCTTTTGAGGCCAGGGGAAGCCAGGAGAGCCCATTGGCACCTGCCCATTCGACCCAAGGTTCAATGCTATGGTGGGCAAAGCTTCTTTACAAGGTCAGGAAGTGCCCAGTGCTGCCTGTTGGAACCTGCCTAGAGAACCAGGGTTCAACCCGTTGGCGGGCAAGGGTCCCCTTCCCTTTCAAGGCCAGGAGGCACCCAGACCTGCCCCTTGGCATCTGCCCATTGAACCCAGGGTTCCACCCTTTGGCAGGCAAAGCTTCCTTTCAAGGCCAGGAGGTGCCCGGTGCCACCCATTGGCATCTTCCCATTTGACCAAGCATTCGACCCCTTGATGGGCAGAGCTCCCCTACCCTTGGAGGCCAGAAGGCAGGCGCCCTTACCCGGCGCGTACTCCATGGCAATCATCAGGGCCTTGTCCTCCAGGAAATTCTCGTAGTATTCGATGATGTGCGGGTGGTGCAGCAGCTTCAGCACCTGGCACTCGTTCTGGGCCGCCAGGCGCTCGTCCTTGGTCATCTGCTCCACCGGGATCTGCTTCAGGATGACCAACTTCTGGTCCAGCCGACGCAGGCACAGGTGGACGATCCTGCAGGGCAGCCGGGCGCGTCAAGGGGCAGGAGACGGGCATGGGGGAGGGGCAGATAAGCCCCCACCCATCCCGAACCCCCTTTTGTGGAGCAGCTGGGCATGCTAAAGAGTGGGGAGCAATGGGGCACATGCAGGGGCTTCTCCTTCATGGGGGGACCAGCTGGGCCCACTCCCACTCCCTGAGCCCCCTTTTGCAGGGCAGCTGGGTATGTCAAGAGGCGGGGGCATGGCGAGTATGGGGGGGGCTCTCCCTCATGGGGGGGCAGTTGGGGCCCCTCCCACAGCCCTCTTTTGCAGGGCAGGTAGCATGTCAAGAGGGTTTTTTTCTCCCACATGGGGGCTAAGCCCCCACCCACTCCCTGAGCCCCCTTTTGTGGAGCAGCTGGGCATGCTAAGAGTGGGGGGCAATGGGGCACATGGGGGGGCCTTCTCCTTCATGGGGGGACCAGCTGGGCCCCCTCCCACTCCCTGAGCCCCCTTTTGCGGGGCAGCTGGGTATGTCAAGAGGCAGGGGCATAGGGTGTATGGGGGGGGCTTCTTCCACATGGGGGAGGGGTCAGCTTGGAATGGGACCCTCCTTAGGGAGCCCAGCCGACCTAAGTGATGCCTGTGCCTCAGTTTCCCCGTGGGTAAAGCGGATGCAAAGGGGAGGAAGGGATGGGGGGAGGGGGCTTCCTCTGGGGTCTCCCTATTGGGTTTTCCTCAGGAGAAGCCGAGTGCTGACGGTGGGGCCACGATCCACGCAGGAGGGACTACAAAGCCCATCATCTTGGGAGAACTCTTAGAAGGGCGCCCTGGGGGAGGGGTGGCGGGTTAAAGGCTGCTAGCTTGGGTCGCCCTGCCGGCTGTGGACGATGGGCGTGGTAGTCCCCCACACCCAGAACCTCCTCGCCGTCAACGCCCCCCTCGAACCCCCCCCCATCGTCATTAAGACCCGGTTTTGGAGCCGGGAGGCTCCCATTGGCTGGACGGAGCGGGGGACCACCCGTCCTCACCCGAACGCCCCCCGCCCGACCACCCGGATCCGCTCGTATTTCTCCATCGGGCGCCGCCGAGTAGGAGTAGTAGGCCGCGGCCGGCGGGCCTCCCGTTGCCATGGCGACCTTGCCGGGCGCGGCCGCCTACGGGGGCCGGCGGGGGTCAAGCCGCGCCGTTCTCGCGCCGCAAGGCCGGGATAGAATATTATATAGAGTAACAGAATAACAAGAGTGGGAAGGGGCCTTGGAGGTCACCTAGCCCAACCCCCCCGCTGAAGCAGGAGACCCTATTGCAGGAGTGTCCAGCTTTGGAGCTTTTAAGACTGGTGGACTTCAACTCCCAGAATTCCCCAGGTGGGGAATTCTGGGAGTTGAAGTCCACCAGTCTTAAAGTTCCCAAGGTTGGAGACCATTAAAACCTACACCATTCTGGTCAAATGGCTGTCCAGTCTCTTCTAAAAAACCTCCAGGGATGGAGCACCCACAACCAGCAGGAAGGGAGGACTACAATAACAACACCCGCTGTCCCGCTCTTCCCCCATGGGAAGCATTGCATCTCACATCCCCCTCAGACGGTAGCCTGGAAAGCAATGCTCCCTAGTCCATTTAGCAGGGGATGATGGGATCTGAGATCTGACCTTGCTTGTGTCCCCCCCCTCCATTCTTGCAGCAGGGTGGGTGCAAAAAATAGTTTAAAAATCTCCTCCTTCCCGCCCCCCCGCCGTTGCTCAGGACTTCAGTTCCTATCATCCCCAGCCAGCAGATTTAAATGTTTGTGGTGTGCCCAGGGACTTTAGGCTGGTCTGGGCATTTTGTGGTTGCTCCCAAGCTGGGGAGGGGAAGAGAGGCACCCCTCTGCAGGGGACAATGGTGGAAGATGGTCTCTGGAGTTCTTCTCCATTGGTGAGGAGGTTTCAGTTTGGGAGGGGGGCCTGGCTCCCCTATCAGTTTTAAAGATATTTCATCCTCCCTCCCATTTCCCACCACCACCACCATTCCTGCCCCCTCCCCTTCAATGGCGGGGTATCTACCCTTGGGGCAGGTGCAAAGAAGCCCCATGCTGGCTGGGGAATTCTGGGAGTTGAAGTCCTTAGTCTAGAAGACCTTCAAGGTCCCTTCCTTTATTCTGTATTCTGCAAACAAAAGGAACTTCCATATCTGGACAGATGTTGCACAGGCTTTGAGGTTCCATGTGGCTTTCCTGGTCCAGTTGAGCCACCCTGGGGAAGGAAAAGAGCAGGGGAGGGTCCTCCTGCCCCCCTTGATAATGGTCTCCTAAGCTAAACAAAGAAGGGCAAAGCAGGCTTGATCTCAACTGTTCTAGAAATCGCCCAGAATTTCTTGACTGAGATGGGCATCTCTAAAAATGGAAGAAATAAATTAAATTTCCTGGGCGGAGGAGAGCTAGAAGCTGAGAAAGGCTGCATAAGAGAAGGAGAGTGTTAAAAAAAGCTCAGAAAGAAAGAAAGAAAAGGTTTCATGACGTGGCACCTTCCAGTGCCCGCAGCTGGTTGCAGGAGGAGCGGGAGGGAGTCTGGGTAGGCAGAACTGCCAGGAAATTGGATTTTAATTGACACCCTGCAGCCTTCCTGGGCCTGCCCTTCTCCCGATGCAGCTGCCAGCAGGTCTAAATTCCCTCTAAATAAGCCAGGGCAGCTTCTTCCAGCATTCCCCCAAAATTATTGTGGGAAACTCACAATGTGAGTTTGGGGCAGGACTCCTGGCAGGCAGTAATTAATAGAATTCGTTATTGGCCAAGTGTGATTAGACACACAAGGAATTTGTCTCCGGTGCATAAGCTCTCAGTGTACATACCACAATAGTGATAGATCATTATCATAAGTCGTTGTAAAAATACATTCATCATAAAAATTAGATACAACATTTAGTGATATAGTCATGGATACTAAATAAGCAATCAACTTAAATCATACTGGGATACTAATTAAACAATTTAAATCGTAAGATACAAGCAACAAAGTTATAGTCATAAGAAGATAAGGTGATAGATAAAATAGACATTGCATCTTTTATATAAGCATCTTTTATATACATACCTCTTTTCATTTCTCACTTTTTATTGTTACAAGACACTTAAATTTAACAAATAAATAAATAAATAACCTGGGAAGGTTGGCATTTCTTTCCTTGGTGCACAGACAGAAGCATTTATTAAGTTTATTATGGTCAAACCCTCCAAATTCTCCGTGGGAAATACAGCTTGACTTACACAGTTGAGCCCAAAAGTTTTTCACTTAATAACTGTGTTACTAACTTAATGACGCAGTGATTCTTAACAACTGTGCCAGGGAAGGTCGTAAAATGGAGCAAAACAAAAGTGACTCATGGCCATTTTTCACCCTTACGACCGATGTAGCATCCTGATGGTCACGTGATCAAAATTCGGACACTTGGCAACTGACTCGTATTTATGACGGTCACTGTGTCCCGGGGTCACGCGATCTCCTTTTGCGACCTTCTGACAAGCAAAGTCGATTGGGGGGGGGGGGAAGCCAGATCCACTTAACAATCGTGTGACTCACTTAAGAACTGCAGGGATTCCCTTAACAAGAAAGGTCGTAAAACGGGACAAAGCTCCCGTCTCGCTTAGGGGACCCAATTAACAGTTTTCTTGCTTCCCACGAAGTTGGATTTTAAATGCCATTCCTTGGGTCAATGGTGGCATCCGGGCACAAAAGGAAGCTCGATTCGCCCGCAGTTCCGACCTTCCGTCGCTGGATCCCGCGCATCTCGCCCGTGCAGGATCAGCTGCTAACGGCTAGCGGGCATCTGCGCTGCAGCCGGGCACGTGCCAGCCGGGCACGGGCCCCGCCCACCCCCACTGGGGAAACCCTCCCCGGGGGCGTGGTCTGGGCGGGGCGTCGGCTCCTCCCCCGCGGGAGCGCACGTGGGCCGGAGCGGAGGGAGGGAGGGAGGGAGGGAGGGCTTCGGGCGGCGATGGCCCCGTGGCTGCGCTCGGTCGGGCTGGTGGCCGGCTCGTCGCTGGCCTTCGCGGCCCTCCGATGGGCGCTGAGCCGCTGCCCGCTGCCCGCCCACGTCCGCCGCGACGCCACGCGCACCTGGCGCTGGAAGAACCTGCTCGTCTCCTTCGCGCACTCCGTGGTGGCCGGCCTCTGGGCCGTCGTCGGGTGAGCCGGGCGCCAGGGCGCCTCTGAGCATGCACAGAGCGCCGGGCAAGGGACTGCCCACCCCCCCATCCCCCCACCCACCAGGCCCGCCAGCCGATGCTGCCTCCCCCCCCCACCCCCACCCCGGCTGGGAACGCGGCGGAGCAACGATCGCCCAGGCTTCGAAGCGGGACCCCCGTTGCCCCTTCATGGGGGGGGGAGGAGGGCTGGGATCGGCTCGTGGGACGGTTGCCCAGGACCCCCAAACGACCTTAAGTGTGGGGGGGGTGCGATCATCTTCCCAGCTGGGCTCACTTTCTGGAGCTGCCTCTTTGCTGGAGGGGGTGGGGGGTGGGGGGAATGCGAAACTCTGCCAACCTGTTGCCAGGTTTGGGGTGCTGGAAAACCGGCTGAGACCAGGAAGAGGCTAAGAGGGTGGCATTTCTTCGTTCCTCTCTCCCTCTTCCCCCCCCCCCCCCCGTAAAATTTCTCCCTGGTGGGGTGGGGGGGGGTCTTCCCTTCCTTTCTGCTGACCCCGTGGTGATTCTCCCCCTCCCAGGATGTGGCAGCTGCCGGGGGCCTTCGATGACCTCGTGCGGACCACCTCCCCTTCCGCTCACCTGTTGCTGTGCTTTTCCACAGGTAAGAAGCATCTTCAAGGACGGGGGGGGGGCGTCCTTTGCCATCGGTCTCCAAGGGGGCTGGGGGGCTTTCCTGGAAACTGTTTGTTTGTTTATGTATTGGCTGCCCATCTCAACACAAGGCAGCTGTTGCCTTTCGCAGCTTTTAGTGCTGAAGCCCACCAACCCCATCCCGCCACCACTAGGAAAACCTTCCCTTTGGCAACGCTTGCCAAGGGGGTCTTTGGGACCCCGGAGGGCCCAAAGTCTCATGCTCTGGCGTTGTTAGTGGGCATCAGAAGAGAGGGGCTGGGGGGGCCACAAAGGTCTTGGTGGGTTTGCTGCAAAAGGCCCACGTAGGATCTTCTGCTCTGGGCACAAAATGTTTTAGCTTTTTGTGTTGCTGCGCAGGAGAACACAATGGGGGCATTAAAAGCTTTTGTCCCACTTGCCTTGTTCCTCCCACTCCCCTCCAGAGAGCTGCCCTATTCCTCCCCACCCCCCAGCTTCACTTTTAACAATGGCCACGCGAATTCCTGGGTATCCGTCTGTGTTCCCCCCCCCCCATTTGGGGGTTGGGCTGCCAGGGGCATTTTAGCACAGCTGGGAGATCAGGCTGGACCGAATTCTGTGCCAGAAGATGGCAAGGGAGGGGTGGAAAGTTGACTTTCTCGTCCTCCCCCGGATGCAGCCGGGTGAAAGTGGGGTGAGACACAAGGGTATCAGGCTTGGAGGAGTGCCTGAAGACCCTGAAGGCGATGGAGTAGGTGCAGGGATCCCCAGCTTGGCAACTTTACGACTTGTGGACTTCAACTGGGAGTTGAAGTCCCCAAGTCTTAAAAGTTGTCTGGGGAATTGTGGGAGTTGAAGTCCATGTTTGAAAGTTGGCTGGTGAATTCTGGGAGTTGAAGTCCCCAAGTCTTAAAGTTGGCTGGAGAATTCTGGGAGTTGAAGTCCATTAGTCTGAAAGTTGGCTGGAGAATTCTGGGAGTTGAAGTCCGGAAGTCTTAAAAGTTGGCTGGTGAATTCTGGGAATTAAAGTCCGGAAGTCTTAAAAGTTGACTGGTGAATTCTGGGAGTTGAAGTCCAGAAGTCTTAAAAGTTGGCTGGTGAATTCTGGGAATTGAAGTCCACAAGTTTTAAAGTGGCTGGTGAATTCTGGGAGTTGAAGTCCGCAAGTCTTAAAGTTGGTTGGAGAATTGTGGGAAGTCTGAAAGTTGCTGAGGTTGGAGATCTCTGAAGTAGGAGACCCGAGTTCGAGTCCTGCCTTGGCGACCAAGCCAGGTGGTGATTTAGGCCCCCTGCCTCTCGTGCAACCCAGGAAGAAGGGAAGAGTAAATAATTTCTGAAAAACAGAGTAAAGAAAACTTCA